TGGCCTCAACTTGCAGTCCAAAATACGTCAGGAGGATTGAGCAGGAGGATCGCGTGAGCCCAGGAGTGGAGCTACAGTGAGCTATGAGATCCATGCACTCCAGCCTGATGACAGAGTGAGACCATGTTTTAAAAAAAAGAATTAGGTATATTTCTTTAATAACATTAAAAAGAATTATTACAACACTAATACATTTAATGTTTGACAAAGTTCAAAGACAAAGAAAGCACACAGAAGAAACCAAAATCAACCCAAATTCCTACCACCCCAAGAAAAGCACTGTTATAATTTGATGTATTTATTCCAGTGGTTTTTTTATATTATAATATATTAATTGTTAATAAATCATATCATGTCCAGATGATATTATGTAATCTTTTTTCATAACTATGGGAGTATTTTATGATTATATATTTTTTACACTAATTTTATTTAATTATTTAATTATTAATAATTTATTTGAGATCAGGGTTCCTTGCTCTTGCTGCGCCATGAGTTGCTAGGCCAGAGTGCAGTGGTGTATGCATAGCTCACTGCAACCTCAAACTCCTGGGTTCAAGCGATCCTTCTGCCTCAACCTCCCATGCCTGGCTAATTTAAAAAAATTTTTTTGAGACAAGAGTCTCACTCTTGCCTGGGCTAGAGTGCCGTGGTGTCAGCCTGGCTCAAGCAACCTCGAACTCCTGGGTCAAGCGATCCTCTTGCCTCAGCCTCCTGTAGCTGGGACTACAACATGTGCCACCATGCCTGGCTAATTTTTTCTATTTTTAGTTGTTTGGCTAATTTCTTTCGATTTATAATGAGACAGGGTCTCCCCTTGCTCAGGCTGGTCTTGAACCTCCTGAGCTCAAGCAATCCTCCCACCTCACTCCCAGAGTGCTAGGATTACAGCGTGAGCCACTGCACTCAGCCTAAAATTTTTTTGTAGAGACAAGGTCTTGCTATTTCTCATGCTTGTCTTGAATTCCTGGCCTCAAGTGATCCTCCTGTCTCAGCCTCTCAAAGTGCTGGGATTATAGGGGTGAGCCACCTCACCTGACCTATTATTTTATAATTTTTTTTTTTTGAGACAGAGTCTCGCTTTGTTGCCCAGGCTAGAGTGAGTGCCGTGGCGTCAGCCTAGCTCACAGCAACCTCAAACTCCTGGCTCAAGCAATCCTCGCTCAGCCTCCCAAGTAGCTGGGACTACAGGCATTCGCCACCATGCCGGCTAATTTTTTGTATATATATAGTTGGCCAATAATTTCTTTCTATTTAAGTAGGAGACGGGTCTTGCCTCGTCTCCAGGCTGGTTTCGAAACTCCTGACCTCGAGCAATCCGCCCGCCTCGCCTCCCAGAGAGCTAGGATTACAGGCGTGAGCCACCGCGCCCGCCTATTTT